AAACATTGTTTCTTTCTTATAGTGCCAAAAAATTTCATAGTTTCTTTTATCTTACATAATTATCGTTTGACCTAATTTTTATATTACCTAATTATCATTTAATCTAATTTTCTGTCTCATAATTTTCATAAATCATAATTTCTTTATTTGAAAAAGAAAAATTGTCGACAAAAGTGGGTTAAACGGAAATTAGATAAAAAATAAATTATGAATAATGATAATTTTATTTAAAAATTAAATTATGAATATATGATAATTGAATGAAAATAATATTATAGAGAAAAAAGTATCAAAAAAAAAATTGTCGCCATGAAAAATTTGCCAAAGAATTAAAAAATTACGATATTTTAATTGAATTTTAACAAAGAACTAATTAAATTTGTTAAATTATGAAATAAAGTTGAAATCTCATAATTTCTTTTTAATTATTTAGAAGCTGGTAAAAAAATTATGTAATGATTTAAATACAATATTATTAAAAATAACTTGAAATATAAATATCTATATCAATAAATTATTTATAAATAAATCAATAGGTATAATTTCTATTATCATAATTATTATTTTTTTTTTTATTATTAGAGAAATAAAAAATTAATAAATTAATTTATCTCTCGTTCTTGGAATAAGTTAGGGGAATTAATTGTCTGCGTTTTTTAATTTCGCAATGAGCAAACAAGAGCTGCTTATTTTGCAAGAAAGCTTTGTTGGAAACTGAATCATGATAAGACGCAATTGTTTCAACAGATTTTAATTTGTAAAGAATATTAAATATTTGTCTCGCTCGCGGTGAATTATAATATACGAAAAAGTCTTGACAAACGAATAAAAAAAGAACGAAAAGAGAAAATTTGATTTAGGTACAAGCTTTACGGATATAACAATAATACTTTTATCATAAGAAAATAATTGCTGCGTTAAATTAAAAAAAAATTTTCCCCTTTCTCTTCAGTTTTCTCAGATTTATGTTTTTTATTCCTTTTTTTTAGAAATGGTAAAAAGTAAACGGAAACTCAATTTTCATATTTATTGAAAATTTCATTAATTTCCATTAGTTTTAATTAATTTTGGGTAATTAAAATTTTTTTAATTAATTTTGAGTTTTTTGAATTATTTAATTAATTTTGGATTATTTTTTACAATTTTAAATCATTTTCATTGCTTTCTGGATAATTTCAAATTATTTTTATTTTTTTTATTAATTTTCTAATTAATTTTAATTTTCATAGTGTTAAATGTACAAAATTTAAAGAATTTGAATTAATTTATTTATTTTTAGTTTATGAAATTATAATTTGCTTAATATTTATAGCATCAATTTTAATTACATTTCTTTAATTTTAATTAATTTTTCGTAATTTTAAATAATACTGCCTAATAAATCATTTATTATTTTTATAATATTTATCAATTATATATATTTATTTATTATTATGTTCAAAATTATATTATATATTATATATTATATATTATATATTATATTATATATTATATATTATATATTATATTATATTATATTTTCATAAATAACAATATTCATCACAAGAATTTAATTATTTTCAAATATAACAAAATTTATCACAGAAATTCAATTCTTTTTAAACATTTTAATAAAAATTTTCTCAATAATTCAATTATTTCCATAAATAATAAAACTCATCGGAAAATTTCAATTATTTTTAATACAATTTTAATCGAACTCCTCGAAAAATGTAATTATTCTTAAAAATTTTATTAAAATTCGTCGAAAAAATTTAATTGTTTAAAAATTTGGTAATTCTTTATAAGAATTAAATCTTAAAAAACATTCAATTATTCAATAAATAATTTATTTTTGTATTTCAATAATTTTTGAGTAAAATTTTTTCCTTTCTAAAAATTCATAAGTTTTCATTTTCAATGAAAATTTGTAATTGACTAATTGAATTTATATTTATAAACATTTTTTCCCCTGTATTTTGAAAAAACTTTAAATTTATTAAAAACAATTCTAATTAAGAAATAGAAATAATGTAAATTTGGAAAATTGGAAATTTTCTACAAAAATATTAAGAATCGGGAATATGTATAATGTTTTTTTGCCAAAAATAAAAAAATGAGTTTGTGAACAATATTGTTATTGAGAAATAAAAATTATGCATAAAATGGGTATTTATTATTTATGAAAATAATAAAATGTTTGCCAGAATGAATGAAAGAATACGAAGATTAATATAGTTTATTAGAATTTATTTAATGTTTATAATATTAATTTGTTTTTTTCATTAATTTAAATTAGTTTTTCTTATTTTAACTTATTTTAATTTACTTTGATTAATTTTAATTTCTGTTCGTTAATTTCAATTAATCATCATTAATTTTAATTTCTGTTCGTTAATTTCAATTAATCATCATTAATTTTAATTTCTGTTCGTTAATTTCAATTAATTTGGAGAAAAATATTTTTCAATTGGTCCTCGGTAATTATTTTGAATAAATGCATGAAAAGTAGAAAAAAAAATTTTTTTTTTGTTGAAAAGGGGGGTGGAGGGGACAAGTTACTTAATTAAAGTAAGAAGCGAATAAATAACTGTGAATTTTGCGAACCACCGAAAATAGTATAGACATCCCACTGGTTATTATCCAAGATCCATAGTTTTCGCGAAATTAATAAAAGAATTGTGAGAGAAAATAGGTCTAAAAATCTCTTGAATCGAATTATACTGCGCGAATCCAAAAAACCAAGAAGAATCATTTGCATGGGAAGGGTGCAATTTTCAAACAGTTTTCGGCCCTTTTTATGCCTAACTACTGAATTTCAAAACAACTCACACAGGTGGGGGATTATATTTTCGTGTTTAAAATATTTTTTATTTTACTCCTTTCACCCCAATGTTTCTGTTTCTTCTTTTTTTTTCTTGTCCCACTCCCACACGATTCCTTGAGTTTTAGGGACACAACCGGTATTTATATTCTCTCTCTCTCTCTCCTCTCTTCTAACCAAGCTAGACGCAAAAAATGTTGGAATATAAAAGTTTTTTCTGGTTTCATTTTCTTTTTTTTTCCAAATGAAAACCACTTGCGATTTTTTTGATGGCAGTGATCAAGGGACGAGGGTGGAGAGGGGATGGTGGGTAATGTTAGTGCCCCGAAGGCAAGCATCACAGACACCGGGTTAAAACGTATGCGATCATGCTACCGTGTACACCGGATCCACTCACTCTCTCTTCAATATCGAAATTACCCCCTTTTTTCAAGATTCGATCGATATAATCATCGGTGTCTCACCTGCGGCCAATAACATCTATTCGACCGGGGTTATTCTCTTGTGAAAAATTTCCAACTCCGCGGGAATATTTAAAGACTGTCTTTATTTTATTGTTGAGGGGATTTTTTACATTTTTTTTTCTCCTCTTTTTCGATAGAGTTTTTTGCTGTGCGAAAAAAGTGGGTATTTAACTTCTTCTTTTTTCGGTGGCTAGCTTTCGAAAATTGGGTGTATTTCATCGTTTCGAAATTAAAGTGTTTTGAGGGGAATATTTAAATTTTAGGTGGAAAGAATCGTGATTGCAGAGTTTGAATGGAAAGGAAACAAAAAATTGTGGTTGATAGTTGAGAGAGTATTTGATATTATTTATTCATTTCTGGCAGGAATTTCAGTTTTTTTATTTTTCTAATGGGGCGTTAGTATAGAAGTCTAGCAAATTTCCTAGTTTTTAGCAAAAAAAAATTTGTTTAAATAAGAATTTAATAGAAATGAATTTTTAATCAATTTTAATTAGAAAATTCTTTCGTCGAATTTAAAAACAAATTTTTAGATAAAAAGCTTTTAACAAGGATTCGAGCATCTTGATAAATTTTCTATAATTGAATCCCACTTAAATAATAATTCCACTTTATTAAAATTTGTTAATTTTCTTAATTTTCTTTATTATTAGTATTATTTTAAAACAATAATTCGAATAAAGAAATGAAATTTCTATAAATTCCAATTTTAAGTTCAATTAATATATCGGAATAATTATATTCAATCTTGATATGATTTGTGATATGTCTCACTTATATGGATTTATCGCTTTTATAGGTTTTATTCTTAAATTAAACATTTGCTTTCGACATACAATATATCTAGAAATATTATTAATTGACTAGAGATTTTAATACCTACACGGAAAAAATTTTGGTGCACCAGTCGTTCCTACTAGTGCACGAGCTATACCAAACCGCAGGACGAATATTACCCTAGCGCTTGGTATAGCGGACGTACCGTTTTGTGACAGCAGGCGCACCCTTTTGGTGAGCCCTCTGCATTATTGCAATAGAGCAGACGATATACTTAATTTTGGTACCACTGCTTTACCGTCGTTTTTCCGTTTTCTTTTTAGTGCATATCATTGTGCGGATTTTTATATTCAATAAATAATTTTAAAGTGGAGTGTTTTGAATGATTCAATGATAAATATATTGAAAAGGAGATATTGAAGACTGGACATATTGAAGATTTAATACTTGTAAGTATATATATAATTAAATCTATATTTGCAGTAAAAATGGTTTTCGGCATTGTGAATTTAGTTTTTCAATGTGATGTTATGGATTTAAAAGTCTAATCATAATTATTATTCGGATAAAAATTATTATCATTAATTCTATTAAATATTATTTTCAATCTTTGCTGTAAAAATTTTCTATTGCAAAACAGTAAAAATTATGAACATTCACAAGAAACAATAACGTAAACAAAAGGATTGAAAAACATAACCTACAATTAACGAGAAATAATAGAACTTACATTTCTTGACAAATTTATATTAAAGAAACAAAAGTAATGACTAATTAATAAATATTATAAATAAAAAAATGTTTATTAGTATAATAAATGATAATAATAGAAAAAAATTACTATTATCTAGTTTTTTGATAATAAACCTCTCACATAAGAATGCAAATCTCTCACTTTACTAATTTTTTATGCAATTTTATGATTCACGTATCGATTTTGATTTTTTCGGAAGCAAAATATGTCGGAAGATGCTGCAGACGGTATTAATTCCCAACGTATGGAGATTGATAATGGCTTCGACTTGTCAAATAATGGCGAATTAAGTGAAAATGAGAATTCGATTAATGTGTCACAAGGTGACAAAGAATCACAAGGTTTTCGATAATAGAAATTTGAATTCTCATAATTTATTGGTTAATTTATATATTTATTTGCATTTTAATCATTGTATACATTTTTCAGATAATTTTACTTTTGAAGAAAACGATTTATTTCATTTTCTTAATTCCACTTTAGAAGGTCAGATAGTTTTAAGGAAATATAAAATTACTGGTAATCTCGATTATGTCAGACTTAAAGATTTGATAATTATGAGGGAGATAAAAAAAGATCCTATTAACTATTCGTAAGTCCATTTAGTCTCAGCGTAAATCAAATGCATTTACTTAATTTAAAGGAACACATTCCTCTATAAGAGCCGTTGGATAATTTATGTGATTTTTTTGTGAGGAGTTTTATTGATTTTTTGTCTAATTTGATGAATAGAAAAGTATTTATTTTTTTAGAATAAAAAGAAGAAGGTTTATTGAATTAAAAGAGCAATTAGAACAATTGTTTCCTACAGAAGATTCTAGCTTATTTTATATTCCGAGCAGCGAAACTGCGGATAAAGAATCTATGAGTGCCAGAGGGTGTTTATACAATTATTATAAAATAATCAGGAAAGAGTTGCGTGACGTGAGACTCTTATCCAAATCGCAAAATAAGAATTCTTCTTCTGATAACGTCAGTTCTGTCTGTAAGATGGAAGATTTTTTAATTTGTTTTTTAAAAATGTTTTTTAATATTGAAGTATTTTATGTTATTCCGTTGTGTGTGTATATATATAGGTATTCAAACTAGTGATTTCGAATCTTTGACAAGTCAAAATGGAGAGGCATATTCTATTGCAAAGGTTACCAAAAATTGGGAGGAAACATACAGTCATCGTATGAAGCTGCTTGTCTCACATTCAAAAAAAAACTCCACACCTTTAGAAGTGTATTTTAAAACATTTCCGCGACTCAAATCTCCACTTGGCTTACCTTTGGTTATAACTTTAAATTTCTTACTAATGTTTATTATACGTGAATATATGGGTTTATATTTTATTTTAATTCTATTTTTATTATTTTTAATAAACTTTTACTCATAAAATTGCAAGATTTTACATATATATTTTATTGTTCTATTTTTAACTTATCTTTTTAAATTTAATTGTTTAATGGTAAATTTTTTCTTGTAGCTTGAACAAGATTGCCGAAGGATATTTCAAGAAATCGCCAAAGAGAATAACGAACTGCGTCAACTGATTCAAAATAATCCCAATCACGCAATATTTGCTGCACAATGGCCAACACTAGCAAAAAAAATAGTTGTGTATTGTAAGAAGAGCAAAGCTGCTGATGTTAAAGTTTTTCTTCAGTCACATGAAAATTTATTCCAAGGAGGTATATAAATCATTATTTTTTAGTTCCATTTAAATTTTAAAACCTACTATTTTTTTCAAAATAAATATTAACGAAAAATATATGCATTTTACAGGTAGCAACGATAATGTTCTAGCTCTATTGCTACTACCCCTAATTATCAGAGGAACAAAAAAATTGAAAGTTGACTCGAAAAGTATTAATGTAACAAAAGAAGAGATAGCGAAAGCTTTTATTTTACACATTGAGGTAAATGAAATATATTTACTTCATTTTTTATACCGTAGCGTTAATCATATTCTATTTTCAACCATTTTCTTTTTTTACAGAACTTTGAGAACGTAATTGCTGGTCAATTTGAATTTGAAACTTGGTTGACTTCTTTAAATTTGCAAATTCATCCATACGTTACAATAGTAGGAAGCTTGGAGACCCCTCAAATTTATCTAAAGTTGAATGGAGAAAATTATAATTTTCAAGATCCATTAAAAGCACTCGAAAGTTGCTACAGATGTCTAACAGCACTACATTCGTTCCCGTTCCTTTGTGATTTTGTTTGGACCTTTATTGACAAAGCGGTATATAAAATTTGTAATAGAAAAATCAGCTCCTGGGTCACCAAATTATTGGTCGATATTAACAAATAAGTTTTCAACAATTGCCAAAAAAAGTTCTATGAAAATTGTTTTTAAAGTTATATTTTTGTAAAAATATGGATATTGTTTATCTATTAAATAGTGTTTTAACATTAATTTTATTTCTTTATGGTGACCCCAATCTTCCGAGAAAATTAGTTGACGATGTAATCATTTTTATTCGAGATTTCCTACGTAATGTTTTTTTATCATCGCTCAAAAAAGATATTTTATTAATTCTCAAAAACGAAAATTTGACCGCTTTTACATTAAATGAGATCGATCGCTGTTTTTCGGAGTATGGCAATATTTTCGAATATGTTGAAACAGAATCAAAAAGATTTAACCTCTTGAAAAAGAGGGGTCTTATTGATAGCGAAGAATTTAAAATCGGAATAACGTTCTCGGAAAAAATTGTCGATAATGATATTGCTTTAGTCCCAGAAGAAGTAAACGGCGTGTGCATTCCATTAAGAAAGAGTTTTAAAATGTTTCTTGAAATACCTGGTTTGTTTGACCAAATTTTGCAGTACATGAAAACACTTTATCAAGAATCTCACATTTTGTCGAATATTATCCAAGCAGAGGTATGGAAAAATATTTATGCTGATGGAATAAACAGTGATATCGTTCTTCCATTGTATATATTTTACGACGATTTAGAGGTTGGGAATGCGCTTGGTGCACATGCTGGTGTTAATAAGTTTGCAGCTATTTATGCCTCAATAGCTTGTCTACCACCGAATATTTCATCGCACTTAAATACCATTCTTTTCTCTACGCTCTTATATTCATCAGATAAAATTCTATGTGGCAATAAAAAAGTGTTCGAAAAGTTAATTCAAGAATTAAATTATTTAAGAACAGAAGGTATTGTAATAAATATTAAAAATGTCGTCAAACGAGTAAAGTTTCAATTAGTTTTAGTCTTAGGAGACAATTTAGGCTTGAATCAAATTCTAGGATTTGTCGAATCATTTAGGACCGATTTTTTTTGCAGAATATGCAATGCAACTTTAAAAGAATCTGAGGAAATGTGTGTAGAAGATAAGACAAAGATAAGAACTAAAGAGGATTATGAAAATGGTATGCATGATGGTGTTAAAGAATCGTGTGTGTTTAATGAAGTGAATGGTTTTCATGTTATGGACAATGTAACTGTAGATTCAATGCACGACGTGTTTGAGGGTGTATGTTTCTACGTTTTAAAAAATCTCATAAATACTTTTGTTTCTAGACCCGATTATTATTTTTCTCTCGAAACTCTGAATACTCGAATTCAAAACTTTGACTTTGGTTTAATGGGAAATGCGAATAGACCACCACCAATTTCCAAACATCGATTGACAAAAAAATGTAATTTGAAAATGTCCGCATCTGAGATGCTAAATCTTGTTCGATGTTTCGGAATGATCATTGGCGATCGAGTACCAGAAAATGATAAATATTGGCAATTGTTTATGTATCTGCGTCAAATTGTTGATATTTTGTTGTCACCACGTGTAGTTCGAAGCGATGCGCAAACCTTAAGTAACTTGATCGAAAAAATGAACAAACTTTACATAGAATTATATGGAAAACTCAAACCAAAATTTCACATTTTAATACATTATCCAACAATTTTACTCAGAAATGGACCTGTTGTAAATTTCTGGGCTATGAGATACGAATCCAATCATCGGTCAATCAAATGTACAGCCCAATCAACAAGTTGTAAAAAAAATCTACTACAAACAATTGCAGTTAAACAATCTTTAAAAATGTGTGAAATGATGCACAATTTGAACTTTGAACCATTTACAAAGTATGGAGATGTTAACGATTCCAGAGAAACAAAAAATTACTTTTTAAATGAAAATGAGAACAATTCTTGTAAATATTATAAACAAGTCACAATAAACGGCATTAATTATGAAATTGGAACATTTTTAGTTTCAAGTATGCAAGAAAGTGAAATAGAGTTCATCGAAATAGTAGATATAGTTTTGCTACAGAACGAAGTTTATTTTTACGTTAACACATTTACAGAAATTACATTTGATTATCATTATCATGCATACATTGTCGAATGTACGCATGAAAAGAAAATTCTAAAACAAAAAGACTTGCCTAGAATTGCACCCGCCTTATCAATTATAAAAGAAAACGCACACTTTATTGTCACCCGCTATGGATTATAATTAGAATACTTCGACAAAAGTTATTAATTTTATTTAAATAAATGTTTAAAATATTCTAAAATTGTTTTTCACTTTATCTTTTACCATCTTGTTAATTATATATTTTTATTTCAGCATTTGATATTTTTTAAAAATAAATGTTAGCTTACATGATACAAAAATTAAATTTAAGTAAAAATTCTATTTAATAAAATATTTATTATGTAGCATTAATTAATAATTAATAATAAATAAATTAAAAGTAATTTATAATTACTAATTATAAATTATAGAATTAGAAAAAATTCATAGGTACATATAAAAATATTTATAATAATTATTTTCTATTTCTTTCACTTTTTTGTATTCTAATTTATTAATTAAATATAATTTTTCTAATAGTTTCATAATTTCCACTATATAATTATTTAATGTTATTAAACATATAGAGAATAGTTTTTTTATAAAAAAATTAGTAATTAATTCTTGTACTTTTTATTTCACTGCACTCTTTAAAGGTTAATTTGTCATAAGTTTTAAATTCTTTATATCTATTTTTTAAAAATAATATTGGTGTGAAAACTTCAAATTTTTAGAAATTATTATATACTTATAGATAATTAATGGTATATTTAAACTTAAACAGTTGTACAATATGAAAAAAGCCACAAATTTATATACACAAGTAAATCATTTTGTTGGTTAATATATTTTCGATAGTGGGGTATATGTTGACTAATTTCAAGTGCATGAGTGGTGCCATGTGCTTGGGACAAGAGATATCCCTTTACTTGGTGCATCTCAGCTCCCAGTTTTGGAATTTCGCTTGTACCAAGACAGTAGTACCAGCGCTGTACGACACTAGGTGGCTCTCAAGCACCAAAATTTTTTCCGTGTAAATAACGTTGAATTTAATTTTGGATTACGGATCTCATAATCTAAATTATATTCAGTATTATCTAAGTGTTATATATTCAATAGCAATCAAATTAGTTAATGTTCTCTACTTCATAATTTCTCTATATATATATATTTTCATATGCTTATTATGTTCTAATGATAATTAAGTTTAATTTCAATTAAAATTTGCAGTTTATTTATAAATTAAATTATTTATTTTTGTTAAACTAGAATTTTTCTCTGCACT